CTTTTTGCGAGGTATTACCATCATTAGTTGTACCATCATCATCTTCTTTTGGTATGTCAACAAGAAGACCCAAACTTTTTTGAAATTCAATTTATTCAAATTGAATTTCAAAAATGTTTTTGATTTGAAACCAACACTTTATGGTCTTGATCTTGAATTTGCCAAGTCTTGAAATCAAGGCAATATGCAATATGAAGTATGCATTCAAAACAATGAATCTAGGCATGCAAATTTGATAGACCTAGCTGAAGACTGTTTTTATTAACAGTTTTTTTCTCTTTTGCAAAGTATTGAGTTCATTTGTTTTGGTGTTGCCAAACAAATGTTGTACGGCGCTGAAGATTTTTGACCGCATATGGCATTAGCAGCTTTGCCATCTATCATGGTAAGCACCAGATTATACTTAACTCTTAGCTGAATCAGTTCAATTTTGCTCATTTGGTAAGCTTACTATTGTGTCTCTTAATGATGCTATTTGATTCTGTATATACTCTTTTTCTTCTCGTAACAAATTAGAGTCTTCTTTTTTGAACTGTAGTCTAATTGGCATACAAAAACAAAGGTTTTTGATTTCTCCAAATTGAACTAGACGGTTTGCCAGAAGACATTAATGAATTCTTAAAATAAAGGTCAAGTGGAACAACTGTTGTTGCAAATATGTGCTCATCAGAGCTACTATTGTATAAATAAAATTGCTGTTTGTACATACTTTGTCCAGATGCACCGTCAAAGCCCCAGTTTCCACTTTGAATTAATGTTTTACCAAATAGTTCAACCAAGTTTTTAACTTTAGATTGCACTTGATCTAACTGCAGTAATCAACAACTTGTATGATTCAGCAGATCTTGCAATGGTACCTTGCATTTTGACTCCGTAACTGTTATATTCTTAGGGTAGCATAGTTTTTTAGCTTGTAGTACTTTGTGATAGCCTGGATTAAGTACAGCATTGTGCTTCTTAGCATTGTTTCTAAGCTTTTAATAAGTATTTCTAGTCAAATCTGTCGAGATCATCAATGCAAGAGAATACTCAGGAATCAATGATGATATAAAATTATGCTTTTTAAGAATTGATTTAAAAGTTACGTTTTAAGAACTCTGTAATACTTGTTGCACTTGATGGTTCTTCTTTTAAATGCATTAGGGCATACGCCAAATCAGGTTTTTGCATTACTTTTCAATAGGAGTAGTTTTTAATAAGCTTTATGAAGCTTGCTTTTAAGTATGATGTGCTTTCTCATCATAGCATTTGTACTTTGGACCTTTATAAAAAAAATTATCAAAAATATACTTATAAACATAGTTA